TGCTTATTTGTCCTCATTCTGTCTTCACTTAATGGCATGTCACCTGTGACACCCCTAGTGATACGAGTCACCGTGCGAGCACCTTTGATCGCGGAATTATCAAAGGTGGGTTGAGAAGAGAAAGATAGAAACATAAGAACAATTCAGTATATGGCGAAGGAAAATACCCTCTCTAGATAATGAGTATGAAAAGATTACAATCCTTCTTTCACAATCTCACTAGAATCGAGAACAAGCTCTCAATTCTCTCTAAACCCTAATCTCTCTTGATTAGAATCTCACTTTGATTATATCTGCTTGATTAGAAACCCTAAACAATCCCTTATATAGGTGTAACAATGTAGATGGTAAAGTGGTAAATAACCAAGCCCAAACCCAACAGGAATTCGTGCAAACAGAAACCCAAACGAACCAGGAAACCTTCGATGAGTTGACTCATGACTGAGATGAGTCGACTTGTCTGAAACTGGACAAAACACAAAACCAACAATGAGTCGACTCATGACTGAGATGAGTCGACTTGTCATAGACTGGTGACAAACGACTGAGTTTCATGAGTCGACTTATGACAGGCATGAGTCGACTCAACCTGATGAGTCGACTCATGACTGTTATGAGTCGACTCACAGGCTAAAAACTGGATGCTTCGATTCTTCGATTCGTCGTCTCGTTCCACACTTTAACCTGCGTTCCACTGTGCTGTTTTACACCTCTATTCTCAAGCTACCATAAGAATCATCTATCCTCAAGCTCCCATGAGGATCACTAAGTTCTGAAGAGAAGATACACCCGTATTATGGGCCCCCCTTTAGGAACTTAAAGTCCTGTTCAAGTTAGAACTTTAGCTAAGGAAACTCTCGAGCTCCTCTATCTTTTTTGCACCACCTGGCCTTGCTAGGAACTTGATAGCGACGTACAACTGGAAACGACTCATTCGCTCCTTGCCTTGTCGTAGTCGTCTTCCACTCCAACATGCAATCCTCTTTCGATGGCTTTTTTGAAAGTCTAATGCACAGAGAGACAAACTTCTTGCTTGCATTCACTAGCCTCTTCGCTCGTGTCGCCGTCCCCAAGCTTGTCTCCCTCGGAAGAGACGCCGAACGAAATATGAACATTTCACCGCCTTTGGTGAATGTATACTTTTGAGCCCGCCTCTCGTAGATCGTATATCTATCCCATAAGTATGGATTGCTCAGTATAATCTGACAAACATCCAATGGAACTACGTCACACGTGACCTCGTTAATATACGACTCATGGAGTGCAAATCTAACAGTGTATTGATCAACTACACTTAGTCTCTCCTCCTTCTGAATCCACCCTAATGGATAGGGCTTCGGATGCTTGACCGTCTTCAGACCCAGCTTCTGAACCAAGGCCTCGGATATCAAATTATTCTCGCTATCCGGATTAACTATGGCATCAACCAAACTGGTCTTCACTTGCAACTTAAGCACAAAGAGTTGCTCTCTCGGGTCATTGTCCTCCTTCGTGGCATGTCTCCCCGTCATAAGGTTAAGACTGCTGTTGGGCTCTATCATCCCCTGGACTTCTTTCGGACCTTGAGCTATCACATATGCCTTTTTATCCTCCTTCTTCTTCAATCCTCTTGGCTTGAGATGAGGATACTTCTCCCAGCACCGATCAGCAACATGTCCTGTCTTCTCGCAGTGACTATAAATCAGTTCTGCTTTCCCTGAATCACCATTCCTCTCCTCCTTAAGTTTGGAACCACTAGACTTGCCTCCTGTCTGTTTGGAGTCTCCCTTAGTCTCGTTGCCCTTCTTTTGCTTGCCCTCAATGGCAATAGCCTTCACGCTCGCCTCTGCAATAGTCTCGATCGTGAATAACTTCATCTCTTTTCGGATGTAATCGCTCAATCCAGTCATATACTTCATAAACACAGAATATTCCTCTGTCATAATGTTGAGGATCATCGCCTATTGCTGGAACTCCGTGGTCTATTCTTGAATGGTTTGATTGACTCTTTGACGCAAGCCGTACCACTTGTACCAACGCTCTTCAAGAAATCCCACCGGGTAGAATTGTTTCCTTAGTAATTCCTTGAACTTGTTCCACGACACCGCCTTCTTCTCCTGCTTGCAGTAGGATTTCCACCACATCAATGCGTGCCCTAAAATCTTCAAAGTCGCGAACACAATCTTCTCCTTGGACGAATATCCATAGAGAGTGAAATACATCTCCATATGTTCCATCCAATCATCGAGTTTCTCCATATTGACACTCCCATCATAAACAGGAATCTTCACCTTGAAGTCAATCTTCAGGTTATTGTAAGAATTCTTACCCCCTTAATGCAACGCAGCTTTAACGGTCTCCTCCTTCTCATCGGGATCTGAATCCACTCTCTTCACATCGGACTCCACAATTTTCTTCTTGGACTTTGAAGAAGATTCACCTTGTTTATCACCTCCATGGATAAGACTGACGAGTTGTGTGAGAGTAGACCCTATCGTCTCGATCTGCTTCTCCAATGCATCAATCCTCACTGAATTGTCTCCTTCAGCCATCTTCTTCTTCCTTAAAACATGGACTCTTTCCAATAAAATAAAAATCTCGCCTAGCTTCTTGTATTGCGATCGAGTCAGAACCATACACAAGATACCCCCTTCATAGGATCTAATCGCTCTGATGCCAACTTGATGCGAGTTGCTGTGCGAGCACCTTTGATCGCAGAATTATCAAAGGTGGGTTGAGAAGAGAAAGACAGAAACACAAGAACAATTCAGTATGTGGCGAAGGAAAATACCCTCTCTACATTATAAGTATGAAAAGATCACAATCTCTCTCTCACAATCTCACTAGAATCGAGAACAAGCTCTTAATTCTCTCTAAACCCTAATCTCTCTTGATTAGAATCTCACTTTGATTACATCTGCTTGATTAGAAACCCTAAACAATCCCTTATATATGTGTAACAACGTGGATGGCAAAGTGGCAAATAACCAAGCCCAAACCCAATATGAATTCGTGCAAACAGAAACCCAAACGAACCAGAAAACTTTCGATGAGTCGACTCACGACTGAGATGAGTCGACTCGTCCGAAACTGGACAAAACACAAAACCAGCAATCTCACGACTGAGATGAGTCGACTCGTCCGAAACTGGACAAAACACAAAACCAGCAATGAGTCGACTCATGACTGAGATGACGAAACTGGACAAAACACAAAACCAGCAATGAGTCGACTCATGACTGAGATGAGTCGACTCGTTAGAGATTAGTGACAAACGGCTGAGTTTCATGCGTCGACTTATGACAGGCATGAGTCGACTCAACCTGATGAGTCGACTTATGACTGTTATGAGTCGACTCACGGGCTGAAAACTGGATGCTTCAATTCTTCGATTCACCGTCTCGTTCCACGCTTCAACCTGCGTTCCAATGTGCTATTTTACACCTCTATTCTCAAGCTACCATGAGAATCATCTATCATCAAGCTCCCATGAGGATCACTAAGTTTCGAAGAGAAGATACACCCGTATCACCTAGTTTTACACATGGCTGCAGTCCAAGGTGAATTCAGAGATGTCAAACCTGTCATGCACCCACATTGTGCATAAATACGTTTTACCAATCACAGTAATATCCTCTAGTGGAATCTAATATAAGTGCATGTACAAAACATGCAAAATAAGGGAAATAAAAACTATAGACATGATGTAGAAAAATATATCTCATAAATGAAATCATGTCTCAAGTGAACAATCTGAAATACATCTGATATCCGAAAATAAATGAAAATGTCTCAACATGAATCAACTGAAAATCGTACTTAGTTCATACCAGATCTCAAAAGTTTTTTTTTCTGATAATAAAACATTAATGTAAGATTGCCTTGCTGGGAGACAAAATCTCCACAGTTTTTAAATTGAAGAGACATTTCTAATGTTGTGATCACACAACGAATGCCAAATTTTTTATATTCTTTTTTAATTTTAAATATTACAAAATGATGCACATTATAAAGGAGAGTTTGATGGTTAAAGTATCTATTTTTATATTTAAAATTTTAAAATAAAAACTATCCACACACCCATTTGGCAAGTTGACTTTTTTTTTCCTCTTTATCTTAGAACATAACAAATAATGAGAAATATTGTAAAGAGAGACTAGTACTTAATCTATCTAACTTTGAATTTGAACTATTGGAATAAAAAGTCATCCACTCCCTTAGTTTGACTTTTTGTTAAGTTTCAAACTATTTGAAAAAAAAAACTCATGTTTAATTATCTAGTTTTTAATAATCTCTATGCTCTAAATCATTGGTATAAGCTATGCTCTAAATCATTGGTATAAGCTATATGTACACTCATATAGATAAAAAAGTAGGGTATATATAAAATAAGGAAAGAAGAAACAACACTTAAAAAAATTCTATTCAAATCACTTTAGAAACACATGCGTGTGACTAAGAAAGAAACCTATAGAGACGAAACAAATCAAATATGTATAAAAAAAATCAGATTCCTAACCTTCAAACTTAGGGGGATATTTATAAGTTTTCTAGTAGGGTAGGCGAACACTATAGTAGGGGATAGGTGAACACTGTTTGGGGTAGCTGAACACTGTAACAAGGGTAGGTAAGAAGGCTATCCACACAGCCTCAAGGTTCTCAACATCAGCGACATACCTGTTCGTCCACCTTCTTATTTACCATTCCATTTTCGCAAGAAATGATCAATTCTCAAGTCAGATCGAAGGTACTTGAGAGAGAAATCTAGTTCGTTGCCAGAGACGAAGGCTGAAGTTTTGAATTGATACGAGACTATCGCTCCCCTATCCTGCTTCAGTGCAGAAGTCACAACAAGTTTGGAAATGGTATAAGACTAATCTGCTCATTTTGCATTTCGATTTCTACTAGAACAACACAATTTGCACAGAAGGTGATTTACTGCATACTTCAGAATTGACAATAGCAAGTATAAAATGGGTCACAAAATCATAAAAAAATAAAAAAATAGATATTTCGATTGATCAGCAGACATCAGAAGTACAGTGCCTCTCTCTTCAAAATGAGACACAGGATCAACCTTTTCAGAGATTACACAGGAGAAAGAATCGACATACACGTTTCCATGAACACATAAACATACTGTCATAGATGCGAAGCCGCCACCGTCACATCCTTTGCAGCCCACTTCCATACTCTAAGCTTCCCCGAAGCATCCCCAGTGAAAAACAACCCATCAGGACCTCTAGCAATGGCTCTAACTTCCTGCTCGGAGAAAATCCTCCCCCTCTCGCTGAACGACGGGAGATCATAAAGACTAACTGTATCATCGTTGCGAGCGCATAACAGCACTGGCTTATCTTGTGCATCATTCACCCCATATAATTGAAGGACTCCATGATCTTCACAGTGGGTGTACACAACTTCCATCTTGCCGCTGTCACCGACAGCCCAAACCTTCACCGTTCCATCCAAGGAGCAAGACAAAAGATAATTATCCCAGTATAAGAGAGACATAACGACCGATGAATGGCCAGTGAGGGTCTCGATGCACCGCAATGTAGTAAGATCCCAGACCCTTATGGTGCTATCCATACAACCGGAGTAAAGCCTACCAGCTCTGATGACTAACGAGACCACAGAGCGTTGATGGCCCTTGAGAGGAACTGCCGGTTCAAAGCTGTTTTCTTGGTCATTTAGCTTCCAAGCCAGTATGCATCCGTCCTGAGTTGCGGCGAACAAACTTTCATTGTCAAATGCCAATGCATACACTCGTCCGACGGGGGATTTACCATCCGAGGCTTTGAGGGCTAGATCAGCGAATGTTTTCGTATTCCAAGCTCTGACAGCATTGTTAATGCCCACAAAAATCCATGGGCCCTCGCTGATCATGCAGCCAACCTCACTTTCCAAATTAACAGTATGAACACATCGGCCACTATGGCAATCCCAAATTCGAACAGTGTTATCTTGGCTTTCCAAATTAACAGTATGAACACATCGGCCACTATGGCAATCCCAAATTCGAACAGTGTTATCTTGGCTCCCAGTGTAGAGCTTATCAGAACCCCATGGCAACACAATTCCAGTAATAACCTGCGAAGATCAACGCACAACAGATCTTTAAACTAAACGGAACCAAATTTGGAAATTCAGAAAAAACAGAGAGAGAAAGGTCTGGTCTTTGAACCTTTACAAGAACATATCGACCAAGACTGAAAATTTCAGAAAAGAATGAGAAACGACCCATCCTTCAACTCTTAACCGCCCAAAAAAAAAACGAGAATTTCAGAAAACAAAGAGGAAAAGGTCCCAACTTTTTAAGTCTTATTAAGAGGCTAAAAACAAAGAAATAAAATCGAAAATTTGATTAAAAAGAAACATGAAAAGGTCTCGCTAAACATAGAGAAGGTAAAACAAGTGCTAGAAAAGGAAATTTAAAGGAAAAGGAACAAAAGATTTCACCTTTTGGTGGGACGGCAGAGCTGTAAGCAGAGAGAAGCTGTCACCGGTGAACCAAGAATGCAACGACTTGCACTCGTCGCCGAGACCACAGCTTGATCCGACGATGAAATCTTTGCACAGCTTATTAACCTGCGACGTGGTCTGATCCTTGTCCGCGTCCAGTCTGGGGAGATCAGAATCCCTTTTGCCCGCGGTCTTAGGGTTTCTCCAGACGGAAGCCCTCTTCTTGGAGGCGACATCGAGAGATCGAGGGAGCTCTCCATGGAGGTAAGGGCAATTGCGGCGATTGCAGCGGCCAGCCTCCCAATAGATGCAGACTTTGTTGTGACGGCGGCCGACGGCGGAGGGAAGAGGGCCCAAACGCTGGTGTATTGGCTTGATGCCATAACCAGTCGCCCGTTCGAACTCCATAGAGCTGGATCGAACCAAACCCTAGAAACTGAAAAGATTAGGTTTTGACTGGAGATTAGGAGGTTAATGGTGGGGGGAGGCGGCGGGGCGCGAGAGTAATCGGAGAGTTTTTGGGCGTCGTAGGTGCTCGCGCGAAGTTTTAAATAGCTGTGAGATCAGATCCCGTGTCTTCAGAGACACGTGTCCCGATCTGATTCTCCATAAGGGACACGCGTCGAGATCTCGTAGCCACATACCCGTTGTCTCGGGAGCTTGGCGTGAATCTGACGCTGTTATCAAGTACCTGCTAATATGCTAGAAATATATTATTTTGGGAAACTAATTATGATCTAAATTTATAGGGTGGTTGTCTGAAATGCTAAAAAAAATTTTAGAACACATGCTCTGTGATTTCTAGTGTTTTGTTTGGTTCAACATTATTACAGGAATACAAAGGTATAAATTACATTTTATAAGAATTAAAAATTCATACAAACCACAAATAATTACCAAACTATTTTTTAGAAATAATAAATAAAAACCTATTATTCAAGGAAATGCTACAAAAAGACCCCAATATCCAAAAAGGAATAGGACTCGGCCCTAAGAATCAAGACTTAGTCAGCATGTGCTTGCCCCCACCTCCTAACCCCCAAACCCAAAAAAAAAAGAAACAAATGTGCTTTTATCCCCTTTAGGTGTCACATCAGCGGAGAGAGAAAACTACTTATTTATCCCCATTCTATATTCATTTAATGGCATGTCACCTCCTCATTTTCTTACTCATTTGTATTAACCATCACATTCAAGTAAAAAATCTACTACTTCCCTCTTCTTCTGTCTAGAAGCTTTATGCAAATTTTCAAATGATTATTTGAAATTTTTAGAACTTCTTTCGTGTGTGTGGGATGAGGGGCGCGCAGGAGGTTCTGCAGCTTTTAGGAAGTTATATGAAAATTTTGAAACTTTTTTGGGGCGGGGGTTTTCTTTTTGGAGGTTAATTTGAATTCTTGAAAATTTCTAGGGGATTTTCTACTACTTTTAAGCAATTATGTACAATTTTTAAATTTTTTTGAGGGGTTTGCTTCAAATTTTCATGGGTCATTTATGATAGGAGATAAATAATACAAAGTTATAAGTACACAACTATTAAGTTATACTATAGTATAGATGTCGAACCCACGAGAAAGATGTGTGTTTGAAAATTCTAAATTTGGTCCAAAAAAGAGTGGATAAAAAAATGAAAGTGAAAGTGTAGAGATGTAGATAGAGATTTATCACAAAAATAAAAAAAATAAAACAAGAAGGAAGAAAGACTGAAGGAGGATACAAATAAAAGGAATACAAAGATAAAACTAAGTGAAACGAAATCGAAATAAGAAAAGGGAAGGTAGTAGGAAAAAGAGAAACATCAACAAAATAAAACCAAGAAGAGGAAAATCAAGTAACAAGACTTAGTGACATGTGTGTGTGTTGACCAAATTTAGGAGGTGGACCAGAGATCTATTGTAGGTCATATTGGTTGACTTAGAAAATAAACCAGAAGAGTTGGGATGGGAAAGTCTTGGTTCATGTAATCGGATATGGTTGTTGATGTAATCAAGTAGAAAATAAAAGCATAAAAAAGTAAGGAAATAAATCTACTCTACAAATTATGAAGAATAATTATACTACAAGCATGAAATAAGTCTAATCTACCAAACATGAAATAAAAATAAGAAAATAAAATAATCAAACATATAATTATAAAATAAGAAAATAAAAAAAATAAAAACTTACATTGCAAAGTGTTTTCCCTTTGAAGGAAAATCTTCATCTTCATCTTTATCATCAAAGAAGAAGAAAAGAAAATTAAACAGGAGGAAGAAATTTTTATTTATTATAAACAAAAAGTTTATAATTTTTTAAAGATCTTCTCAATTAAGAATAACTTTCCTCTCCAAAATAAAGCTTTTATAAATTTTTTCATACCAAAACCATCACTCTTTACCCCTATTTATATATAGCCTACTGAAACCAATAAGAGCCATTCAATCATTCTTAAGCTCCAAGAAAATAAAAATTAAGTAATGATTGGATTTTGTTACAATCTAATCAATGGGATTGGTTTGTAAAAAAATTGTAACAAACTTTATTGACTTTGTTGACTCTACCTTTATGTGATTTTGGACTTCTTGGATCGATGTTGGGCTTTAATAAAAGGTTAAAAATTGAGAGAATTTGGCTCGTTTGGTCTCTCACTCATTAATCTTTTATTACGTACAAATTAAGATAAACACACTTTATTAACATATATTTTATCCAAAATAAAATAGATAATAAGAATATAAAAGTGTAATAAAATATGATAATTTAAATATTCCTACAACTAAATTTTTGCTAGTCTTCTAGTGAATAAAGAAAAGAAAATTTCTAACTCATTTTTATAGGAATCACGGTTATATTTAGTACATACAACAAGCAAACCAGAAGAGTTGGGATGGGAAAGTCTTGGTTCATGTAATCGGATATGGTTGTTGATGTAATCAAGTAGAAAATAAAAGCATAAAAAAGTAAGGAAATAAATCTACTCTACAAATTATGAAGAATAATTATACTACAAGAATGAAATAAGTCTAATCTACCAAACATGAAATAAAAATAAGAAAATAAAATAATCAAACATATAATTATAAAATAAGAAAATAAAAAAAATAAAAACTTACATTGCAAAGTGTTTTCCCTTTGAAGGAAAATCTTCATCTTCATCTTTATCATCAAAGAAGAAGAAAAGAAAATTAAACAGGAGGAAGAAATTTTTATTTATTATAAACAAAAAGTTTATAATTTTTTAAAGATCTTCTCAATTAAGAATAACTTTCCTCTCCAAAATAAAGCTTTTATAAATTTTTTCATACCAAAACCATCACTCTTTACCCCTATTTATATATAGCCTACTGAAACCAATAAGAGCCATTCAATCATTCTTAAGCTCCAAGAAAATAAAAATTAAGTAATGATTGGATTTTGTTACAATCTAATCAATGGGATTGGTTTGTAAAAAAATTGTAACAAACTTTATTGACTTTGTTGACTCTACCTTTATGTGATTTTGGACTTCTTGGCTCGATGTTGGGCTTTAATAAAAGGTTAAAAATTGAGAGAATTTGGCTCGTTTGGTCTCTCACTCATTAATCTTTTATTACGTACAAATTAAGATAAACACACTTTATTAACATATATTTTATCCAAAATAAAATAGATAATAAGAATATAAAAGTGTAATAAAATATGATAATTTAAATATTCCTACAACTAAATTTTTGCTAGTCTTCTAGTGAATAAAGAAAAGAAAATTTCTAACTCATTTTTATAGGAATCACGGTTATATTTAGTACATACAACAAGCTTTAAACCCCTAAGTTATTCTAGAGGATAAGTTATAATATCGTGAAAGTTTACAATGAATATACCCACAAAATTCAGTCAACTTGCTCTTAAAGAAGCCAATTTATAATTAACTCATTTGAGATCTTTAATCAATCTAATTAGAGTTAGTTTATACTTAAAAAATATTATTATGCATAACTCCAAATTAAAATTTTTAGAAAATCTTTTCATTATAATTATACAAAACCAAGTCTAACTTAGAAATTTATCCCAAATTCTAAAAGGAACATATTTAACTCTTTATTTTAAACAATTCTCAATTCTCTTAATCATTTTATTTTTCAAGAATACACACGTGTACACACACACACACAAAGAAAATTTTTAGTACAAGAGGACTTTGAGAATATGTTATCCACTCTTAGTTAAACATGAAAAATTTTTATTACTTTAAATAAAGTCCTAAGTTAGAGGTAGGATAAAAAATGCTATTTTAAAAATAATTTCTACTATATCATACAAATAGCTAAATGTTAACTCTCAATGAGGAGCCGACACATGTCCCACCTTAAGTACCTAATTAACCATACTATGGGAAGGACGACTCGAACGATATGATGCATAAATTTATTTAGAGTTATCATAAAAGGGCTAACTTGAGTATAAGACTAACTAATAACTCGAGAGTTTAGAATTCATCAACTAAATCAATTATTAAGTAACTTTATTAAGTTAGCAAGTGATATTTTTTAAGGCAAGAAAAGATAGAAAATAAAAAATAAAATAGAGAGAAAATATGACTAGTCCTCACCCCACATCTAAATTTTGTATATCCCTCAATACAAACCATATGATGCTCAAAGTAAAGTAGATAGGAGATGCAATACTTACATTTATTAGGTCAACCTAGAACAATGATAATATAATAAAATAATAAAAATCTACAATTACCATTTGTATGAGGAAGATGTAGCCAAAAATCTATTTTCTTTATTTTTTTCATTTTTGTTGAACTCTCTTATATACTTGAATTTTGTTCTCTCTGGGGTTTTCAATACTTCTTGCAACATGTTACGGTAAGTTGATAAGGAGTAATCAGTCCAACCAAAATCATTATGTATATCATTGATACACATTTCCACCAATTAAATGTTGGATTTAGAATGTGACTAAATATTAGAATATTATTCTAACTCCTCAAAGAACACAATCTCAGTATTGAAAATATCCTCTAGATTGGGGTTCATGATTGAGACTTGATGAGGTCCATCTTTGCTAGAATTTAATTTTTTTTAATCAAAAAGCCTAATTTTTTTTATTATTGATCTCCTCAAAACCTAAGTCAGTATAATCTAACTCACCCTCCTCTTCTAACTGTTCCCTTGATATTTCCTGGATGTAGTTCACTTTTATGAGTTGATTTGATGGATCAGTTGGCTGGTTTTCTAGATTGAAAATGTTAATATCAATAGTCAACTTTTATGAGTTGATTTGATGGATCAGTTGGCTGGTTTTCTAGATTGAAAATGTTAATATCAATAGTCATGTTTCTAAAGGCATCTTTCTTTTATCGTTGGCTGGTTTTCTAGATTGAAAATGTTAATATCAATAGTCATGTTTCTAAAGGCATCTTTCTTTTATCAGTTTTATAGTTAATCAAAGTATTGAAAGTTGCTAAGAACGATCTTCCTAGAATGATAAGAATTTGAACTTTGGCATTGAAAATGGATTGCATTCCCAAGACAATAAAACTAACAGGAAAAATAAACTCCCTAACCTTAATTAGAACATCCTTACTCTCCCTTTGGTATTCTTATAATTTATCAGCTAACTTAAGGGTATATCTCGTAGATTTAATTCACCTGCCCGTAGCTATTGATAGACTGAATAGGAAAAATACTAATACTAGCTCCTAAGCTTAGAAGTGCCTTATCAATGAAAATTGATCCTATGACCATAAAATAGTAGGACAACTAGTTACTTTATATTTTAAAGGCATAGGCTTTGATAGCGTGTCACTAATATTGGCAGCTAAAAAGACTTTTTGGGAATATTAGTGGTTCTTTTCTTAGTGCACAAGTTCTTCAAAAATTTTACATGTGACGGGATTTGTTGGATGTCATGTAAGAGATAAATGTTGACCTTTACCTACTTAAAAGTTTTTAGAATTTTTTCTAATTAGGGAGATCTTTTCCTAGGCCTGAGTCTATCTATAATGTGAGTAACAGCTTAAACCTATTGAGATTGAGCTCAGGTTCAAATTTAGTTTTTGTCATAAAAAAGGAGTGATTGTTGAACTTACTCCCCTATCCTGCTTCAGTGCAGAAGTCACAACAAGTTTGGAAATGGTATAAGACTAATCTGCTCATTTTGCATTTCGATTTCTACTAGAACAACACAATTTGCACAGAAGGTGATTTACTGCATACTTCAGAATTGACGATAGCAAGTATAAAATGGGACACAAAATCATAAAAAAAATAAAAAAAAAATAGATATTTCGATTGATCAGCAGACATCAGAAGTACAGTGTCTCTCTCTTCAAAATGAGACACAGGATCAACCTTTTCAGAGATTACACAGGAGAAAGAATCGACGTACACGTTTCCATGAACACATAAACATATTGTCATCGATGTGAAGCCGCCACCGTCACATCCTTTGCAGCCCACTTCCATACTCTAAGCTTCCCCGAAGCATCCCCAGTGAAAAACAACCCATCAGGACCTCTAGCAATGGCTCTAACTTCCTGCTCAGAGAAAATCCTCCCCCTCTCGCTGAACGACGGGAGATCATAAAGACTAACTGTATCATCGTTGCGAGCGCATAACAGCACTGGCTTATCTTGTGCATCATTCACCCCATATAATTGAAGGACTCCATGATCTTCACAGTGGGTGTACACAACTTCCATCTTGCCGCTGTCACCGACAGCCCAAACCTTCACCGTTCCATCCAAGGAGCAAGACAAAAGATAATTATCCCAGTATAAGAGAGACATAACGACCGATGAATGGCCAGTGAGGGTCTCGATGCACCGCAATGTAGTAAGATCCCAGACCCTTATGGTGCTATCCATACAACCGGAGTAAAGCCTTCCACCTCTGATGACTAACGAGACCACAGAGCGTTGATGGCCCTTGAGAGGAACTGCCGGTTCAAAGCTGTTTTCTTGGTCATTTAGCTTCCAAGCCAGTATGCATCCGTCCTGAATTGCGGCGAATAAACTTTCGTTATCAAATGCCAATGCATACACTCGTCCGACGGGGGATTTACCATCCGAGGCTTTGAGGGCTAGATCAGTGAATGTCTTCGTATTCCAAGCTCTGACAGCATTGTTAACGCCCACAAAAATCCATGGACCCTCGCTGATCATGCAGCCAACCTCGCTTTCCAAATTAACAGTATGAACACATCGGCCACTATGGCAATCCCAAATTCGAACAGTGTTATCTTGGCTCCCAGTGTAGAGCTTATCAGAACCCCATGGCAACACAATTCCAGTAATAACCTGCAAAGATCAACGCACAACAGATCTTTAAACTAAACGGAACCGAATTTGGAAATTTAGAAAAAAAACAGAAAGAGAAAGGTCTGGTCTTTGAACCTTTACAAGAAAATATCGACCAAGACTGAAAATTTCAGAAAAGAATGAGAAACTACCCATCCTTCAACACTTAACCCAAAAAAAAAAAAAAAAAAATACAAGAATGAGAATTTCAGAAAACAAAGAGGAAAAGGTCCCAACTTTTTTAAGTCTTAAGAGGCTAAAAAAACAAAGAAATAAAATCGAAAATTTGATTAAAAAGAAACATGAAAAGGTCTCGCTAAACATAAAAACTTAACCCAAAAAAAAAAAAAAAAAAATACAAGAATGAGAATTTCAGAAAACAAAGAGGAAAAGGTCCCAACTTTTTTAAGTCTTAAGAGGCTAAAAACAAAGAAATAAAATCGAAAATTTGATTAAAAAGAAACATGAAAAGGTCTCGCTAAACATAGAGAAGGTAAAACAAGTGCTAGAAAAGGAAATTTAAAGGAAAAGGAACAAAAGATTTCACCTTTTGGTGGGACGGCAGAGCTGTAAGCAGAGAGAAGCTGTCACCGGTGAACCAAGAATGCAACGACTTGCACTCGTCGCCGAGACCACAGCTTGATCCGACGATGAAATCTTTGCACAGCTTATTAACCTGCGACGTGGTCTGATCCTTGTCCGCGTCCAGTCTGGGGAGATCAGAATCCCTTTTGCCCGCGGTCTTAGGGTTTCTCCAGACGGAAGCCCTCTTCTTGGAGGCGACATCGAGAGATCGAGGGAGCTCTCCATGGAGGTAAGGGCAATTGCGGCGATTGCAGCGGCCAGCCTCCCAATAGATGCAGACTTTGTTGTGACGGCGGCCGACGGCGGAGGGAAGAGGGCCCAAACGCTGGTGTATTGGCTTGATGCCATAACCAGTCGCCCGTTCGAACTCCATAGAGCTGGATCGAACCAAACCCTAGAAACTGAAAAGATTAGGTTTTGACTGGAGATTAGGAGGTTAATGGTGGGGGGAGGCGGCGGGGCGCGAGAGTAATCGGAGAGTTTTTGGGCGTCGTAGGTGCTCGCGCGAAGTTTTAAATAGCTGTGAGATCAGATCCCGTGTCTTCAGAGACACGTGTCCCGATCTGATTCTCCATAAGGGACACGCGTCGAGATCTCGTAGCCACATACCCGTTGTCTCGGGAGCTTGGCGTGAATCTGACGCTGTTATCAAGTACCTGCTAATATGCTAGAAATATATTATTTTGGGAAACTAATTATGATCTAAATTTATAGGGTGGTTGTCTGAAATGCTAAAAAAAATTTTAGAACACATGCTCTGTGATTTCTAGTGTTTTGTTTGGTTCAACATTATTACAGGAATACAAAGGTATAAATTACATTTTATAAGAATTAAAAATTCATACAAACCACAAATAATTACCAAACTATTTTTTAGAAATAATAAATAAAAACCTATTATTCAAGGAAATGCTACAAAAAGACCCCAATATCCAAAAAGGAATAGGACTCGGCCCTAAGAATCAAGACTTAGTCAGCATGTGCTTGCCCCCACCTCCTAACCCCCAAACCCAAAAAAAAAAGAAACAAATGTGCTTTTATCCCCTTTAGGTGTCACATCAGCGGAGAGAGAAAACTACTTATTTATCCCCATTCTATATTCATTTAATGGCATGTCACCTCCTCATTTTCTTACTCATTTGTATTAACCATCACATTCAAGTAAAAAATCTACTACTTCCCTCTTCTTCTGTCTAGAAGCTTTATGCAAATTTTCAAATGATTATTTGAAATTTTTAGAACTTCTTTCGTGTGTGTGGGATGAGGGGCGCGCAGGAGGTTCTGCAGCTTTTAGGAAGTTATATGAAAATTTTGAAACTTTTTTGGGGCGGGGGTTTTCTTTTTGGAGGTTAATTTGAATTCTTGAAAATTTCTAGGGGATTTTCTACTACTTTTAAGCAATTATGTACAATTTTTAAATTTTTTTGAGGGGTTTGCTTCAAATTTTCATGGGTCATTTATGATAGGAGATAAATAATACAAAGTTATAAGTACACAACTATTAAGTTATACTATAGTATAGATGTCGAACCCACGAGAAAGATGTGTGTTTGAAAATTCTAAATTTGGTCCAAAAAAGAGTGGATAAAAAAATGAAAGTGAAAGTGTAGAGATGTAGATAGAGATTTATCACAAAAATAAAAAAAATAAAACAAGAAGGAAGAAAGACTGAAGGAGGATACAAATAAAAGGAATACAAAGATAAAACTAAGTGAAACGAAATCGAAATAAGAAAAGGGAAGGTAGTAGGAAAAAGAGAAACATCAACAAAATAAAACCAAGAAGAGGAAAATCAAGTAACAAGACTTAGTGACATGTGTGTGTGTTGACCAAATTTAGGAGGTGGACTAGAGATCTATTGTAGGTCATATTGGTTGACTTAGAAAATAAACCAGAAGAGTTGGGATGGGAAAGTCTTGGTTCATGTAATCGGATATGGTTGTTGATGTAATCAAGTAGAAAATAAAAGCATAAAAAAGTAAGGAAATAAATCTACTCTACAAATTATGAAGAATAATTATACTACAAGCATGAAATAAGTCTAATCTACCAAACATGAAATAAAAATAAGAAAATAAAATAATCAAACATATAATTATAAAATAAGAAAATAAAAAAAATAAAAACTTACATTGCAAAGTGTTTTCCCTTTGAAGGAAAATCTTCATCTTCATCTTTATCATCAAAGAAGAAGAAAAGAAAATTAAACAGGAGGAAGAAATTTTTATTTATTATAAACAAAAAGTTTATAATTTTTTAAAGATCTTCTCAATTAAGAATAACTTTCCTCTCCAAAATAAAGCTTTTATAAATTTTTTCATACCAAAACCATCACTCTTTACCCCTATTTATATATAGCCTACTGAAACCAATAAGAGCCATTCAATCATTCTTAAGCTCCAAGAAAATAAAAATTAAGTAATGATTGGATTTTGTTACAATCTAATCAATGGGATTGGTTTGTAAAAAAATTGTAACAAACTTTATTGACTTTGTTGACTCTACCTTTATGTGATTTTGGACTTCTTGGATCGATGTTGGGCTTTAATAAAAGGTTAAAAATTGAGAGAATTTGGCTCGTTTGGTCTTTCACTCATTAATCTTTTATTACCTGCAAATTAAGATAAACACACTTTATTAACATATATTTTATCCAAAATAAAATAGATAATAAGAATATAAAAGTGTAATAAAATATGATAATTAAATATCCCTACAACTAAAATTTTGCTAGTCTTCTAGTGAATAAAGAAAAGAAAAATTCTAACTCATTTTTATAGGAATCACAGTTATATTTAGTACATACAACAAGCTTTAAACCCCTAAGTTATTCTAGAGGATGAGTTATAATATTGTGAAGGTTTATAATGAATATACCCACAAAATTCAGTCAAATTTCTCTTAAAGAAGCCAATTTATAATTAACTCATTTGACTTTAACCAATCCAATTAGAGTTAGTTTATACTTAAAAAATATTATTATGCATAACTCCAAATTAAAGTTTTTAGAAAAATTTTTCATTATAATTATACAAAATCAAGTCTAACTTAGAAATTTATCCCAAATTCTAAAAGGAACATATTTAACTCTTTGTTTTAAACAATTCTCAATTCTCTTAATCATTTTATTTTTCAAGAATACACATGCGTACACACACACACACAAAAAAAAAGAAAAATTTTAGAACAAGAGGACTTTGAGAATATGCTATCCACTCTTAGTTAAATATGGAAACTTTTTATTACTTTAAATAAAGTCCTAAGTCAGAGGTAGGATAAAGAATACTATTTTAAAAATCATTTCTACTATATCATACAAATAGCTAAATGTTAACTCTCAATGAGGAGCCGACACATGTCCCACCTTAAGTACCTAATCAACCATACTATGGAAGGACGACTCGAACGATATGATGCATAAATTTATTTAGAGTTATCATAAAAGGGCTAACTTGCGTATAAGACTAACTAATAACTCAAGAGTTTAGAATTCATCAACTAAATCAATTATTAATTAACTTTATTAAGTTAGCAAGTGATATTTTTTAAGACAAGAAAAGATAAAAAATAAAAAATAAAATAGAGAGAAAATATGACTAGTCCTCACCCCACATCTAAATTTTGTATATCCATCAATACAAACCATATGATACACAAAGTAAAGTAGATAGGAGATGCAATACCAATACTTACATTTATTAGGTCAACCTAGAACAATGATAATATAATAAAATAATAAAAATCTGCAATTACCATTTGTATGAGGAAGATGTAGCCAAAAATCTGTTTTCTTTATTTTTTTTATTTTTGTTGAACTCTCTTATATACTTGAATTTTGTTCTCTCTGGGGTTTTCAATAATTCTTTCAACATGTTATGGTAGGTTGATAAGGAGTAATTAGTCCAACCAAAATCATTATGTATGTCATTGATACACATTTCCACCAATTAAATGTTGGATTTAGAATTGGATTAAATATTAGAATATTATTCTAACTCCTCAAAGAACACAATCTCAATATTGAAAATCTCTTCTAGATTGAGGTTCATGATTGAGACTTGATGAGGTCCATCTTTGCTAGAAATTTAATTTTTTAATCAAAAAGCCTAATTTTTTTTATTATCGATCTCCTCAAAACCTAAGTCAGTATAATCTAACTCACCCTCCTCTTCTAACTGTTCCCTTGATATTTCCTGGATGTATTTTACTTTTATGAGTTGATTTGATGGATCAGTTGGCTGGTTTTCTAGATTGAAAATGTTAATATCAATAGTCATGTTTCTAAAGGCATCTTTCTTTTATTAGTTTTATAGTTAATCAGAGTATTGAAAGTTGCTAAGAACGATCTTCCTAGAATGATAAGAATTTTAACTTTGGCATTGAAAATGGATTGCATTCCCAAGACTATAAAACTAACAGGAAAAATAAACTCCCTAACCTTAATTAGAACATACTTACTCTCCCTTTGGTATTCTTATAATTTATCAGCTAACTGGAGGGTACATCTCGTAGATTTAATTCATCTGCCCATAGCTATTGATAGACTGAATAGGAAAAAAATATTAATACTAGCTCCTAAGCTTAGAAGTGCCTTATCAATGAAAATTGATCCTATGACACATAAAATAGTAGGACAACTAGGATCTTTATATTTCAAAGGCATAGGCTTTGATAGCGTGTCACTAATATTGGCAGCTAAAAAGACTTTTTGGGAATATTAGTGGTTCTTTTCTTAGTGCACAAGTTCTTCAAAATTTTTACATGTGACGAGATTTGTTGGATGCCATTTAAGAGATAAATGTTGACCTTGATTTACTTAAAAGTTTTTAGAATTTTTTTCTAATTAGGGAGATCTTTTCCTAGGCCTGAGTCTATCTATAATGTGAGTAACAACTTAAACCTATTGAGATTGAGCTCAGGTTCAATTTTAGTTTTTGTCATAAAAAAGGACTGATTGTTGAACTTAATTCTCATAGAGAGAGAGAGAGAGAGAGAGAGAGAGAGAGAGAGAGAGAGAGAGAGAGTTTGTCTAGGTTTAGTATTTTGAATAGTAGAAGAAGAAGATGGAGTTTAATCCGCAGGCATTATAGCTTGATTATTGACCAATTTTCTTGATCTTAGTGTATAGATTGCATTTACTTAAACTAGGTAGGTTGGACTTTATTCAGTGGACTATGGAAAATTATTCAGCATGTTGAATGGAATTGTATATCCACTAGGGAATTGTAGGGTTAAAGTAGAAGTGAAATTTTGAATTTTAAGAAATTTCCTTAATTCCATACAAAATTTGAATAATTTCTCCAACCAAAATTGTAGATTAAAAAAATTTATTTCCTAAGAAAAAATATTTCTTTAAAACATTGGCTGAAAATAGACAATTATGATATCTTAGGGAAGAAACGTGGTTGATTGAGCTGGAGCTCATTCTTTGATTTCTTGGGCTTGTAACTAAAGCAGGATTTT